GCAGTCTGGAAATACAGGTTTGCACAAAATGGAGGCTTATATAATGTCTTGCGGACAGTATGTCAGGGACAAAAGATTGTCTGGCTCCATGTTAACCACCATAATTTTCCAATTTAATAATAAATAGGAATGCCCCAGCAAGTACATGGAGTCGTGCAAATGATTTTCTTTTAAATTTCTGAATCGCAATGAACCAAGCTGTTTTTTAGTCTCCGATACCTTAGAAAGCTTTTAGTATTAATGCATGTGGAAAAAGGTGTATCTCAACCAAGGAGGATGTCTATATCAGATAAAGAGAGGAGTAAGTAACTCTACTGCCCCATTATCTAGGTCATCGAACCATCATACTGATGAAAAAGAATAGGTTGCAAAGTTCAGTACATTCCAATATTGGAATGAGGAAGTGGGTCAGAAGAATTATAGTCACTTTGAAGGCTTGGGGCAGATACCCAAAATGCATACACAGACAGAAACATGCACACACCTTTTTTCCAAGGGGTTGGACCCAGACACAAAGAAAACTTTTAAACAGGGGATCGACTGTCCCATATCTCCAGGAAGAATTTATTGGCTTGCCAGATCTGTCCAGACGAGTGCAAGTGCTTTCTTTGTGTTGGTAGTCCTCAAACAGATTTAGAGTAAATATATACTGTCTCAGTCGGGGACCTGAAACCAGTTTAAGTGCCTGAATTGAAGGAAAATAGGTCCCTCTTCCACGTACACAGGACCTTCTTTAAGACAGTGGAAAAGTGTGTGTTGTGTGCCTTCAAGTCATTTCCAACTTATGACAACCCTAAAGCAAACCTGTCATGGGGTTTTCTTGGCAAGATTTGTTCAGAGGAGGTTTGCCATTGCCTTTCCCAGAGGGTTTCATGACGGAGCTGAGAATTGAACCCTGGTCTCCAGTCGAACACTCAAAGCCTGATGCCACACTGGCTCTTCAGTGGGAAGGGCAGAGTATTAAAGCAAAGCAAAGCAGCTTCATTTATATACCAGTTCATATTGCGCTATGGGATGTCTAAGCGGTTTACAACTGTAAGCTCATTGCCCCCCAACAGCTGGGTACTCATTTTAGTGACCTCGGAAGGATGCAGGCCTGAGTCTAGCCTGAGCCCTGGCTAGTATTGAACTCGCAACCTTGTGGTCTATGAGTGAGTGGCTGCAGTAGAGGCATTTAACCACTGCACCACCAGGTTGAAGTCCTTTTTCTGGGGTTGTGTGATGTAGCTGTTAGAGCATTGGACTGAAACTCTACAAATCTGGGTTTGAATTCTGACGGGAGTAAAGTGTGGCCTGTGGTGTGGCCATGTAGCCAGTCCTGGCTTTGTGTGCCTTTGGGCAAGTCATGGATTCTCACTTTCCTCACCGGGTTGTAGTGAGGACTAAATGGAGAGAAGGAGGAATACTTTTTAAGTAGCCTTTGGTTCCTTGAATGAAAAAAAAGGAGAAAGATAAATATAATCACACACGCACACACACACACAAAATGTCTGAGGCTGAATCTGCACTGCAGCAATAATCAAGGTTGACATGACTTTAACTCTCATGGCTCAGTGCTATGGAATTCTGGAAATTGCAGTTTGCATCAGAACTCTCTGACAGAGAAGGCCAAATGTCTCATCAAACTACAATTCCCAGAATTCCATGGCATTGATCCATGGTAGTAAAAGTGGTATGAAAATTGATTATTTCTGCAGTATGGATGTGTGTGTATGGATGTGTCTGAGTGTGATTTGGGTTGGGTTGGTGCTACTCATCTGTGGCTGTAACCATTTTGCTTTTGTCATCAGGAGAAAAGGACACTGCCAGTCATAGAAGAGAAGGGTTTTCCCCTTCTTTCCTTATATGTGATTAATTGGAAAACGGCCATGAAAACCAAGCAAGAATGCTGCTCAGCAGTTCCTCCAGACTCTCTTTCACAAGCTCTTTTAATGATGAACCCTTAAATTCTCTTTCCCATTTGCTGAATTAAGTAATATGGGGGCCTGAAGCATTTTGAAATAAAATATTTCCATTGTACTAAATCAATTCCATTGAAAGAAGGGCACATAGAGAGCCAAGGTGTATCAGACCAAGATTGATCTAGCCGTGTTTAAATATTTGAAGGGATGTCATATTGAGGAGGGAACAAGCTTGTTTTATGCTGCTCCAGAGACTAGGACCCGAAACAATGGATGTAAGCTCCAGGAAAAGAGATTCCACCTCAACATTAGGAGGAACTTGCTGACAGTAAGGGCGGTTCGACAGTGGAACACACTCCCTTGGAGAGTAGTGGAGTCTCCTTCCTTGGAGGTCTTTAAGCAGAGGCTGGATGGCCATCTGTCGGGGATGCTTTGATTGGGAGTTCCTGCATGGCAGGGGGTTGGACTGGATGGCCCTTGTGGTCTCTCCCAACTCTACGGTTCTATGATTCTATTATTCTAACCTTGGATTCTTGTTGTAGTTTTAAGGGCTGGAGCTTCTGAGAGTTGTAGGCCAACAGCATCTGTGACCATCCATATTATTGATTCTTTATAACTATTTCCACAGTTGTTCAGTTGAGATTAAATAATGGGAGACTGAATGTCTGGATTTGTGAACTTACCATAAATGTGAATTAAAAGTTTCCAGGCCTCAGTTTTCCCTCAATAAATGGCTGCAGTACAAAATGGTCTTTTGGCATCATTTACAATGGGTTAATTTTAGTCCAATTGATGAGTAGAGTGCTTCGAGACAACAATGTACGATATCCTCATTTTAACCATCTTGACCTCCAGGGAGAGTTCAGACTTGATCTGATCAAGGACCCATTTGTTTTTCTTTTTGGCTGTCCATAGTATCCTCAGCACTCTTCTCCAGCACCACATTATCTCAAATAAGTTGATTTTTCCTCCTATCCGCCTTCTTAGCTCTTGCATGCGTACATGGTGATGGGGAATATGATGGCTTGGACAATTCTAACTTTAGTGCTTGGTTGTATATCTTTACACTTGAGGATCTTGTCTAGTTCTTTCATAGCTGCCCTTCCCATTCGAAGGATGTTATCACACGTGGGCCAAAAAGCGACAATAAAGTGGAAATGAGGCAT